ATTTAAAGCTATCTAAAATTACATATTATGTAATAATATGTAATTTATAAAATTACATATTATGTAATATTAAAATTGGCCAATTTACGACATATATTACATTTATTTTGCGGATGTGAAACTTCATTTATATATTTTACTTAATAACGTAGGTCAAAGCAGCAAGATTTAAGAAAGTTCATAAAGAATAAAGTACAAGAATGTTGTTCAAGCTGCGAGGGCGATCAAAGCAATTTTGAGGTTTTTATTTGTATTTAACTCTCGATTAGCACGTCCATCGCGATTTCACTTCACAAGATGGCTACTTTTACATCGTCAAAGAGATATGATACACGTATTTATATATGATTCAACTATGAAATAATTCTGAACGCAATCTTACAAAACTTATAATCCATACGAGAAAGCACATTAAGTATAGAGCGGGATCACGTACGAAGCACGTGGATGATATACGCAGCCGGGTTGACACCAGCAACCCGCAGGCGAACACGTCACACATAATGCGTTCCCGGTCTCGGTTCTAGTTGCGTTGATGCGCATTTGCAATAAATTAGACACGGCACACTTGAGAGCCAATCTCGGTGCACGGCAATCGGTTTTACGAAACTCTCGTATCCACGTAGATCGTTACAGTATTACATTGTAAAGATTTACGCTTAGAATATATACACATGAAAATTATTTAAGCACTAGGATAATACTATGTAAGGCGAATATTGAAAATTGGATACGGTTGATGGAAATTTCCCTTCCTTATTTATATGCAAGTATATATTTTATGAGATTTTTGATAAAACTGTTTTAAGAAAACTAAATTGAATTATTTTAGATTGGATATCTTCTATATATATAAAAATGAATCCCTATTTCCCTTGGTCACGCCATCACGCGTGAACGGCAGGACCGATTTCACTTTTTTTTTGTGTTTGATATTATCAGGAGAATGTTCTTATGAAAGAAAAAATTTAAAAATTTGCCTGAGAAAGTCTAAAAACAACACTTTTCTATATTCCCGTACAAAAGATTCGTAATAATACTTAAAAATCAATTTGAACTTTAATACGATAACATAAAGATTAAGTGTTAGTGGAGGGGATCTGGGAAGGCAAAACAAGTGAGCGACTGTGGTAAAATTTCACTTGAAATGTAAATGTCTCTTTGCTGTGCATCCCTACATAGTATAAAACAAAGTCGTCCCGCTGTCTATATGTCCCTGTGTATGTTTAGATTTTTAAAACTACACAACGGATCTTGATGCGGTTTTTTTACTAGATAGAGTGATTCAAGAGGAAGGTTCATATGTATAATACATTGCACCCGTGCGAAGCCGGGGAGGGTCCCTAGTTATTTAAAAAATGTCTTATTAACGATTATTGTAAAGGGCAAAAGATTTATACGTTTTGAAGGGAAACCAGAGCAGTAACAGCTCATTGACCTGGTGCTCGCTATTAATTCAATATATTCAAGCAACCTCAGTACGATCCCCTGTGTCGACACCAATGAAATTGTTTTCTACAAATTTTAATGTTTAACGTGTTAACGTTAAGATTTTCGTCGGAGTGGCAATCAGCCGTTTAGCTTAGTGGCTAAAGCGTCAGGCTGCGAATGCCGAAGACGTGGGTTCGTTTCCCACAACGGCGACAATGTTATCGTACTTTTTCTACAAATGTTAATGAAATTGTTTATTTTAAGTGCTGACTTGTGTCACATGTTTAGTAGTGAAGGAAAACATCGTGAGGAAGCCTGCGTGTTTTCGAAAAACAACAAATAAAAATATTTCGAAGATATGTGAAGTCCGCCAATCCGCAGTGGGGCCGCGTGGTGGACCATGCCCTAAGACCCTCTGTACAGAGGCGGCCTTTGCCGAGCAGTGGGACATATATAGGCTGTGACGCTGGTATGGAGCACGTCGACTTATTTTCACTTTATTTTAAAGTACCTGACTAGATTAAAAACTACAGCCTAAACTAATATTGTCCAACAGATCAATAAAGAATTAGAAACCTACATAATCGGAGGCTATGAGAAGGAATAAGTTATATATGCAGCAAAATGAATGATAGCATGGCGCAATTTATTTATCTCTTTTGGCGAGCCTCGTAAAAAATATACCACGGTACCATTTCACTTATGATTAATTAACTTCAGACGACGACGAAGATTGAGTATTCCACTGCGATGGCCAATACATCAAAATAAAACCTGTATTTGTACGAAAACACAAAGAACAGGAACTATTTATTTTCTGACTTAACGAACATACACTTCATTGGTCTGAAACATGCATGTGTATGCAAATTTGCACTTTAGTTCAGATACAACCAATAAAATGTCTAACATATGAAAATATTAAAACACCAAGCAAAAAAGTATGACCTAACATTTAAACCCGAAAATTCAGGTTTGTGTCACAAACCAATTACTCTATCAAACAAGGCGAATCTTTTTATATTTATCTATAGTCTAAAGTATCCCTATCTAAAATTGTTGCGAAGCAGACGGATTTTCGGCTCGTTGTAAGCAAGGTCCCGTTTGATAACGCATGTATGTGCATATCAAAATTTGAACTAGCCTCAATATAAAACTCCTCAATCCTCTGTTTTTAATAATGTCAATGTCGGTCGCAGACCTCATTTTGTTATGATTTTGTTGTTCCGCAAACCCGGAAGGCTATACTGTGTACGTAATTACTTAAATTTGCGAAAGAAATGTTGCCTCTTAACAAAGGTAAAATGTCGAAAATATATGCAACTGGATATTCGTGCTAAAGTCTACTAATTCTATTACATTACAGCTGGTTTGCAACTTTAGATACGACCGAGATGAACCAGCTCGACACTATGAGATCGTATTTATATTGTTTTACCGAGCTATACTATACTTCCATACCTAAGCTATACTTCTTTTAACTTTTAGCGCTTTAAGCTTAATGTGAGAGAAACAATTTTACGATGCGCCCGTCCACCGACCCTCAAAAGACGACATGATGAAGTTGGATATGCATACACATATATAGGAATAACTACGTCGACAACTTCATCTCTAATAGGGAAACGTAGAGCGTTTCACACTGCAATAAAGGATATAAAGTGTGGAAAATCACAGGGACGCTTGGGCGCCGTACACGTGAGATAAACGTGTATGCACCATCAAAATTTTCTAATAACTTTGCATTAAACGGGCTGGACAATGTGGTGGATACATTCAACTACATATTTAGCAACAAACAATAGCTAGATCGATTGCTTGAAAATATCAATATAAACGTGCTTTTTGGATTTGTCTCTTAATGTAATGGATAAAGTCTTATGGTTATATGAGTTATTGAACCGGGTGATCCATATAAATTGAAATGTGAAGTGAGACAGACAGCACTGGCGTCTAATACGCGTTCTATTTCTATGTTAACAGGGCCGTAATTGCGTGTTCGATAGATGTGAGTGTGTACAGTCACGGAGAAAGATATTATTTTAGTCAGTCCCATTAGTAAAAGGTCTTAACCATTTTGACACATTTACAAATATAAATGGGACACCAGGTAGGAAGGAAGTTCCTTCGGCTAATGTAGAATCGACACAAATTGCAAAAAAAATCGTGCTCAATTTTATGTAGGTTTTCTTGATTTTTCTCTTAAATTTTGCTGATTAGTTTATATTTAAGTACAAGAAAGTGTTTAGGAAATTCAGTATTTTAGGAAATAATAAATAGCTTAAAATAAAAAAACATCGTAATTCAAATTATCAACTAAAATAACAAAATTATACACTACTCGCTTGTGTATGCGACTGTCGCGCCTGCGCACGTCTCATTTAACGGTTTTATTCCACGCACTTTTTTCCACGGATTTTTTCTTACGGTTTTACTATCACATTTTTTTCAGTTCGGTCGCGCAGCAAAATCCCTATCCCCTCCAAGCCTACCGTAAGGAACTTCGTTCCAATAAACAGAGCGAGTTCGTTGAGTTTTGGTGATTTTACACAGTTATAACTATTAATAGAGCGAATTCCTTGTTTTCAGAAAAAAAAGGACAAAATATTCAGCAATGTCTAAATCTCTCGAGGCGTGTGACTAAAATCAGGTATTGTGCTGTGGAAGCCTTGACATTGCGGCGCGTCGGCAATGTTGAGCTCGTGTGGATGATTTTTATGCAATCCACCATAAACGTGCTGCGTATATGATGAACAGGATAAGAATAGCACCAACACCGTCTTCAGCCAATTGCCAGTAAACTAGACTAACCCCCTAACCTCTCGAATTTAATAGGTTCTTCTTTAGTCCTTGGCAAATTAGTTCTGTAAAAACTAACATAGATAAATATATAAACTGAAAGAATTATTTTATAATAACATTTTTTTACTATCGTAAAAGAACACAAGCTGTGCTGATCAGGAGACAGCAAGTGCAGTCATTTTCAGTACATTGTTCAACAGATTTATATTTTTTTGAAATATGTAAAACATTTTTTTATACTTGATAGAATTTATAAATAGTATTTACTTAAATAAAAAAAAATTTTAATCCTTACTTTTTCATTTCAAGCACACGCAATTTAATAAATCTTCAAGCATTTCTCTATTTGACTATTTTTAATAAACACATTCTTATATAAGAACAATAATGTTGTAATCAATAAATAATAATTTAATATTCATAGTTACAACAGAGCATCAAAGTAGAAATAAACTATTTGTGCGACAATAACCTTCGTATATCCTGTAAGTTTCCTTTAAAATTCCAAAATAATAAAGGCCTCGTCTGTACAGAGGGTGCATAGCCCACCACGCGGCCTACAACAGATTGTCGGACTTCACACATTTTTGAAACGTTTTTTTTTTGTTGTTATAACGAAAATGATATTTCAGTACTTAAAATTAACAATTGGTTGCTCGAGTATATTGAATTAAACACGAGGGTCCGGAAAATGAGCTATCACGACCCAAGTTCCAAAGAAACTATTTGAAACATTAAAAAGTACCGTGCGATTAACGAAAGAGAACATGCAGTTGTGTGACGACGCGCACTTGTTAATTGTTCATTACCCGAACACGCACGCAACAAGAATGGGGAATCCGTAAGCTGGTCGTTCGAGTGGAAAATCAATCGTGCCCGTTTTTTAGCGTCAACACAGAGACGGCGAAAAACGTTTCGCTAAGGTCGCCGTAGACGTTCGCACGGTTTATAGAGCGAGTGAGTAAGCGGCGCAAAAACCCGAACAGGATTTGGCGGTAGAGTCCGCGCGACGACAAAGGGAGGCGTGGGGCCCGCGTGGAGCCGTGTTTGTGCGGCAAAAAATTCAACTGTCATCGGTGGCGCCGCGTCCGGCAACGACAGCTGCGGACCACCTCGCGCCTCGTAAGACTCCTGCGTCCGCAATAACAGGACTCCGACGAGTATCCTTCATGTCAATCTCGTGCGAAGACAAGTATTTGCTTAGCCGGGCCAGTTATAGAATAATATCGCGGGTGCAACGGGAGCAGATGTTGGAGTGCTAGAGGCATCAGTAGGTCTCTATTTTTGTAGCCACTTTGACATTTAATTTAGTTTGTACTCAAACTTCAAGTTACCATATAAATCCTTGCATATCATAAGACGAGGAAATTAATAATTATTGTATGATATATAACATATTTTAAAACAATAATATGTTTAATGACGTAAATGAAAATGAATTTACCATTTTATTTTTCTTATGTGTTCAAAGCGGAATGTTTAATTTTATTATTATAAAAAAATTAAATACTAATAAGACTTATATTATAATGTTTGAATCGTCAGATTATTAATATTTTGCAAAGATTACAATTACCCCTTAGCTATGCAGGCGGCGACACAATCCGCTGTTGTCGCCTTTTCTAGCCGTCATCACTCATACCATCATTTAATTATGCAAACACTAGCTCCTATATGCGTCTGCGCCGCATTAGATGCTTACGCAACATTGTTCTCTATACTGACGCTTAGAAGAAAGTTAACTTTCGTCCGCTGTGTATTTTTACATCTAGTTTCCATACAACGATTCCATATTTTAATCGCTTTCAAACGTAATATACTTTTAATCTATGCAATTTTCACTTCGCTTTGCAATAACATCCTCAAACCAACTTTAGTATAATAATTTACTTTGTCTTCAAACGTAATAATTTCTCATTTATTATACTATTTGAGCAGAAATATAAACTCTTTAATATTTTAACGAATTTTTTCTTCCTAGACATTATAAGAAACAAGTTTCACCTATGATATTCACCGTTACATCAATAATTGTTATACGCCATGACCACTGCTCATTTATGACCTTAACAAATATAATCAATGATTCATAAGAAACTTGCTTTTTTTTCATCTATTATAAATTGTAATTATATAGAAAACTCTTTAACAACGACTATATCTAAAATGAGTGGAAAACATTAAAATCGTTGAAGTCTTTTATATTGCGTCTGATTGAATTACACATTGTTTTAACTTAAGTTAGTTATGCGATTGGAAAAACCAATGTGGTAATGTGTCTGCTTTCAATTAAATATCAAAGTTCAACAAAGATTTTACCCGTTGCCAATCGAAGACCTATATAATATACGTCAATACCTGGAAACATGCATGTGCCGAAGGTAGTTCCGTGTTGGTTGACGTCCGGCAAACCTTCGACGTTTCCGAACAAAACACTGTCAGCAAATGGAGGGGGTGCGGGGGTTGCGAGGAAGGGGGGGAGCGGTTCACACGCCGCGAGGTCGCTGTCTTTTTACTCGCATTACCTCCTGACATTCGTACTTAATGGAGTTGCTTTATTGAAATTTAAACGCAGCGAGCATCGATGTAATGGAATAAAATTAGGTTATCGTAACAACAAAACGGTCCTCTAGTGGCCATCTTTAAGCTCACTTAGCGGCGGCCCAATAAGAATTCGAAACATTCGCTTAATTTAACGACGCAAATATAGCTGTCTCTTTCTTAACATAAATACGAAACCGTAGAGAGAAAGGAACGGGTATAGGAACTCAGTTCTATCAACAAATAGTCATTGTTCTTGGTCGTAGTGGAACAAAATAAAGACAGAGCAGCGGTATTCGTGACTATGAGACAAAACTATCTCAACGGTGGCGTGCGAGAAGGACGGCTTGTAAGGTTTTTGGGTCGATGTCCGGACGAAGGAACTTTGAAAATTGGATTTTCTGAATTATATTAATTAAGGGCAAATCAATCATAGTTACGCTGATTAAGGTTCAACACACAATATCTAAGGTAACAGTTTATACCTACAACAATTATATAATTATTTTAGAGCAAAACAGGTATTTTTTTTCTAATAAGACCATCAGAATTAACAATAAATTGCAATTATCTCGTATTTCAAGTGAATATAAGCCACTTCTGTTACGGGGATTTCCGTAATGTTACAAGTTTGAGCGGCCTGTTAGTGTAGGGCCAATGCGTCCGGTGATGTAACAGGAGCGGGGACGTTGCGCCGCCACCCCACCACCCCCCCAACCCCGGGGGAGCGGACGGCGACCGTTCCCCCCGTGGACCGTTACTCCAGCGTCCTTGGCTGAGTTCTGTCTTGCGCGGCGCAGCAGGTCGCTCCGGGCCCGCTTCGAGCCGCGCCGGCGCGTGTGTGCGTCCGTGCCGCTCTCGGTGTGCGCGGCCGCGCGCCTCGATGCATGTTTGCGTGAATTGAATTACTCCTAACGGATATTACGGAATTCGTTAGATAAATGCCACGAATTCAGATTGGAAACACTCGCGTACGCGCATATATACACGTGTGTTTGCATTTAGACTGTATTATTCTGTTGCCAATTAATATGTTAGCTTTTATTCAAGATATACATAGAATGTTAGAGGATATACGTATAAAATATTTTAAAACGTGTCAAAACTAGTATTCTATATTACTATTTAATATACATATATATACAAAAATAATAAAATAAGTTATAATTTAATATCTTCACAGATTCCATAAAAATTAAGTTAAATATGATATCCATTTCATATTACAAAATTACATGTCTATGTATATATTCGAAATAGAAAATTCTGTACCTTTGAAGAGATAAAATCAGATCAAATGTAAACAATACATCACACCTAACAAGTAGCAACAATAAAATTAACCGACTCCATAACGCATACAACATGCGCGTGCGGTTAGAAAACCTATAAAGATAACACTCATTGCCAATCCGAAAAAGATTGAGCTCATTACATTTATTGGACGTCATAATGGCATTTGTCTATGCGCCGCGGCCTTGCGCCAGTGTATTTGTTGCCAACAATGCACTCACGTGTTCAATAGGTATAACAATTTCGAAACTGTAACTGCTAAAGGTCAGTAATCAGAACCGGAGTGTCGTGCGCGGCGCCAGCGGAACGCCGCTTCGAACAATTCCTACCGTCTTTAATTACTTCTTGTTCGTGTGTTTTTTCTGTCTTTAATTTCATATCTGCACCGAAAAGCTTTTAATGCGTTGACGCTAATATAGCGGCGCGGGTATTGAGCGTTGAGCAAGATAGCAAGGACGGACGCCGGTGGTCAAACATGCGGTGTTGCGCCAATCGCTCGCGAGAGGTGTTTTTTAGCGCTAATACTAAAATTAAAACTGACTGACTCATGTCGTTATGTATAGTATTCTACGTGCACGACCTGAGTTTACCTTTGTAACTAATATTTGCCATAAGTGTATTTCGAATTCGGCGTCCGCAAAACCATTACACAGCTTCGCAAGCCGTCGTGCACGCGGCCGTAGCGAATGCCATGAATCAGATTAATCTACGTATTAATAGACACAATATACTTACTAGATACTCGCACACAAATGTAACTTACATATGATAGACGAACGAAATTGTGAGTATTCATAGTAGAGCCAGGCATTTGTGGGTGCACGCACACACGTACACCCCGCGGGAGGTTCAACGTACCAGTTGCCAACTACGCGAGTTCCTTGTTCCACTTAAATACTGACACTATATTATTATAGTTACAACAATGTTTAAGATTTGAAAAAAGGTATTTAACTTTGAACTAAAACATTAATAAAGCAAAACACCTATTTATAATTTATTTATACATTTAACTCAAATACAAAAAGGTTTTAATTTTTTTGTATAAAGTCCTACCAACAAACATTCGTAAAAAGAAATAGAACAGTCAAATGCTAGTTTGCAGTACCGGTTCCGCCATTAAGCGATACAAAAGATTTCAACGCGCATCTTGATTTTGCCCTTTTCAACCAGCAGCGGTTTCCACGGAGTAAAAGATGCTCCACATCAATAATATTTGTATAACCACTTGTCAATCATTCAAATAAGTTTATAAGAAAATGTAAACATACTCCGATGAAAACAAAAATAAACATACACACACACATTACAATAAATATATATACACATTAAAATAAATATAAAATATTGAAATATATTTTGTATTTAATCTTCTTCTTTCATACAAATACGCGTAGAGATAAATCCATACTAAGAAATAATCAACGAAGTATTTATTGCGGTGAGCCGATAATATGCCCATATTAACTTATGTTAATGTAATGTTAACGTATTTATATACGTATACATATATGTGTTTCGTATGAAATCTGGCAATAAAATTAAAGAACGAAATCCATTAAATGTCTGGGAGAATATGGAGTACGAGTGGGAGGAGTACAGTGCGATGCGGAAGCAATGGCCTACCGATGCAAGTCATGAGCAAGCAGCGGCGTATAAATACATCTTAAATCATACATGAAACGTTCATACTTAGTGTATTAACGATAAATGCATTTAACATAGTACCGACAACTTTCTTAGTAAAATAACAAACCTTGCAATTCTAAAATGGCATCATAACTGATCGTTTAAGATTTTTAAATACAAGTAGTATATACATTATTTATTTTAATCATTGAAACATAATAATATGAACTTAGTCGAGTATTGTATTTACAATTTTAAAGTATTAAATATTTTATGAATGCACTCGTATTAAACTACACATATACTTATTATAAGTATAGTTTATATATACGGGTAATAATTTGGCGTTTTTACACGTCGGTAATAATTTAATGGTCTAATACATTTGTCACGTTGGTAATATACAATCTTAATTTTAAATCAATGAAACAATACATCACATCATTATTATTACAATATGTTGACATTACCATTCAGTAACGTTTATTATGTACGTAATCTTTTTGTACAACGCATACCGCGAAGCCCTATAAAGGTATCAAAATACGTGTAATGTTTCTTCATATTAAAGCTGTTGCGTGAGTTTTTTTTTAAATATTTAGTGACATGTCTTTTTGAATTTTCATGTTTCAATTTTACTAAGGAATTTATAAACACTTAGCAAAGGTTTCCTTAAACTTGGGAACTTTTTCTAGCATTAAAAATGTACATAAATATATATAATTTTACTTTTAGCCTCAATCTTTAACTTTTTTCAGTCTACGTATAAATACTGTGAATCCATACTAATATTTTAAATGTGAAGGACATAAATAACCTATGCCTGAGAAAGGACATAGGCTATTTTTTAATTGGAAAAAAGTGTTGTAAACGGTTGAAAATATCTTGATATTTATTTAAGGGCTTCAACGCGAACGAAGCGGCGGGCAAAAAGCTAGTAACTAATAATGTAAGAATGCAATTCCATTAATGTTTCATTTTAAATTAGTATTCCACCGTTAACCCCCTAACCGATATTAATATCTAAATCAAGTCTTTTTTTTTTTTGTTTTTCTTAGAGCTGCACACTTTCTCTGTGTCTTCAATTTAAATACGTTTTAATTTCTAAGTGTATTTAAAAGGCGGACGAATGTATGTAAAAATGCTTTCTTAATACATTTATATTTGTAACGCTGCGTACTTATTGATAATTTATGCGACTAATTCAACAAGAATGTTTTAACATGCAAATGTGTACACGAATAAAAAATGTCTATGCGCCGAGAAGGCTACTCGTGCACTTGATGAAAACTGGTGCAAAGCAAAGTGGTGCAAACCACAGAACCAGTCCTGCGAACAACAGGAAGCGGCCTCGAGAGCTGCCGCGCCCCTCGCGCGCCTTCTACGTCCCCCTGTCGTCGACGCCCCCTCCCCGCGCCGTAGTGCGGGGCCACCTGATCCAGACAAAGCGTGTCCTTCGTGTCGCTCTCGTGACGCATACAAGTGCATTGCACTAATAACAAGCCTTTTCCATGTCCGGTACCGCATGTAGTACTACTAGTAGCCGATTGCAGCCAGCTCCTTAACATTTTCGGTAAATTTTAAACCGTTACAATTAACCTCTTTAAAAGTTAACATTAGTATTTTGTTTCAATAATGCTTAATAACATTATTTAATCTCAATGTCAAATTTGGTATAGCAGCACTGTGAGCCTTTTAGACGGACCAAACGTCAATGAAAAACCTGATCAGTTCGATTTAATTAGCATTTTAGATAACGAAGTCGTGCTTAAAAAATTTCAAAACGGAAACTTTCGGTGGGTCGGTTGGTGCAAAAAACAATGCCGTCAAAGCACATCGAGCGCCATGAGAAGTGGCGTGCACAAAGAGCCGACGCCGCGTCACAGGCGAACCCGACGGTCTCATCGGACCGCCCAAAGAAACGATCTCATAGAAAGTAGAGCAACTCATTTATTTATTCAGTGCAGCGGCGGGTGCGAGTGAGACGATGCCGCGAAACTGGCTCATTAAAATAAAAATCCGATTTCGGAGTGCAACTCGCGCGGAGCGAAATAAAAGTTTCGGACGAAATTTGCTCGAGTTATTCCAAAAAAGGTGCACGAAATGCCTCTGCAACAAGATCGCCCGATATAAGCGCGAAGAGAAACCGACCGCAATAGCCTCCGCGCATGCTCAGCCTCACTGACAAATGCTTTCGATCATATTTATACTTAAATATCGTGTTGCAGTAATTACACACAAAACCCTCAAACGCTACTCGCAATTCTGCATTTTACGGTAGGAAATTTTAAAGCGTCTTTTATGTTAGACCTAGTGTTCATTCCTTTTCCGCATTAATGTTAACACTGTTTTCACTGCAGAACGGAGCCATTGTTATAACATTACACAGATATAGCGTTGCATTATTGGCACGATGGATGGCAGGTCTATAATCATCGTTGCGAGTCACGTTATCCGCTCGAGCATTTGCTATGTAAATAACACCATGCACGATATTGTTCTATGCTAAGACCAAATGTAGTATTAAATTGTTATCATAAATAAGCATCTCATAATATTTGATAATTGCTGGCTGTCTGCACTAATATGGCGGTCGAAAGCTACGACTTGGGAATTAATGTTATTATTGACATTTTTCAAATTTTGTACTGAAATATTTTCTAATAAATTATTTAATAAAATGACTTCAGGATCTTCATACATATACATATATATATATATATATATATATATATATATATATATATATACGTTAGTGTAAATAACTACTGTGCTCCAATTAGGTCCCAGTTTGTTTTTATGCTGTGACCACCGCTTCATCGATATGTTCAGAGTAGCGCAAGTCAATTATACACGTTACACGATACACAGATTAACGAAAATTAAAAGCGACGCTGCCTTTCACCGCTGGAGTCCTTTCTAGTTTTTAATGTCTGCCTTAGCATTAATTTTTGAGTTGTGTTTACGCATTGTTATATGATGGCATATAAAATTCTTTAAACGAAATTACATACCTTATAATTATTTTAATAAAATACCATAAATTTAGAGAATAATCTACTTTAAATTTATGTTGATGCTTTGGAGTTTGACCTCATTATTGAACGGTAAAGATCAAAAGTTTAACATGTTAGAACAAGAATCGTTATTTTTATTAATGTGAGCTATTTTAAAATTTTTAAATTATTAAAATGGGAACAATTTTTTTTTCATAACATTAAATTTTATTTTGATTAATTTTCATTAATAGCGCGTTTTGAAAAAATTATGTAAAATATTTATGATGACCATGATGCAATTGGTTGTGAAGCAACCAACTTCATAGTCTTATTATGGCAACCAATAACAACTTTTTGACATTTACCTGTAATTCCTAGTTATTTAAATAAAATATCTATTGCATTTAATGTCGTTTTTTTTTTATTTTGACACTGTTTATTTATCCCAAATAAATTTGAAATTAAGAAGATAAGCAATTAACTCACAAGAAACGAAAACTGAAATGCAGTCTTATTAGACTAGTATTAGTATTCATACTCTAACTTAACCCCCCCTCATTTTGTGCACATATATAATTATATAAAATTATATATATTTTTGCTCTGTTATAATATAAATCATATGACATCATTACGTGACCAAGATAATTAATTGATCTTTCTAAAGGTAATAATTAGCCGTATGAAATATTATTGTGATCGTCAAGTTCGGTAGGACCTTATTTACGTTGTGTTTATTTAGTAACTTGATTCTTTTAGGTGTATCTTGGATAGATAAATATTCACTAGTCGTGGTATAAGCCAGAGATAATGCCAGATTGCTTTCTTAATAACTAATCCCGACTCGCTTGAGACGGGCTCAGAGTATATACTATACTCCCTTTCACGCTTGTAAAGGGCTCAGAATATAATTTAAAACTAATATCCCTTCTCTCTTGAAAAGGGCTCACATCAATTTAACATACCCGATTCAAGTCAACAGCTCCCCCACCACATTTAAAAATAATGTAGGGAAGGCACACGGCTCCAACGCCGTGTGCGGTGAGCGCCAACCAACATATTGCACCCCCCCCACCCCTTCCTGAAGACGGAAAAAAGATGGGGAAAGGACCGAAGTCCATTGCAAAGCTGTTTTACCAGCATAAAGAGGGCTTGGCCCCTTGGCAGTGCGTAAGCACAAACTTTGACCGAAGTCGCGAAGTCTTGAGAGGTTTTCTCCAACCAGCTACCATCCACATGAGGTAAACGCATATGCTCCACCAACCATTGCAATAGTCAGATATAGCCATAGTTGTGATTTTTATGTTTAGCCATCAGAAGGGTTTATAATTGGCAACATATATTTATTTGTCAATATCTCTGACGTTGAGAATAGTGTATTTTTGATCAAGTTTGTCTCAAACACCAGCAAGTGGCTGTATTAGTTCCAACGGTGGGAACTTTACTGAGATTCGTTAATAATGTTAAAACGTATAAGGGAGGTCAGACAGTCTGCAGTTCCGTCATCAGGAACCCGACTTGGACAAATCTACTGAGATGTGCATCAACCGAGACGCAGACTCGGCCATTATGAATAGCGTCGTCTCCCACGCAAATGTCGCAAGACGCAATGTCACTAAATGCAACATGCATCAATACAACTATCGCAGGTCAACACGCCAACATACAGCCTATCCGCATACACAGCAGACATCATCACCTCGAATCTCCGTCAACCAGAATCATACGATGCAATGATATTAGGCGCAGATCACCCCGCAACTACCACAAGACGCATTAATGAATATAGCCGCACGCATTAATGTGACCCTATCGCGTAGGTGGCACACCCTCACACCACACCAATATAACTCCAATCAACTTCGGCTCCAAAGTTTAGAATATACACGATACACCCAAAGTGTCCAAACATACTCTTTCACGATCCAAATGATAGTTCGACGTATCATAGCGTAATACACTAAGACGCAAACCACCAACGGACCCCCACCCCAGTCAAGCAATAGCCAACGTATCATAGTGGAATACACTAAGATGCCAGCCACCACCAAACTCTTCCTATGCCGAATGACAGCTAACGTATCATAGTGATGGTCACTAAGCCGCCAACTATCATCAGCTATCGATGATATGTCCACCCCACTCAAGACATATCCATTCATGGTTCCACGTTTACCGTAAACCATATCGTCGTACAGAAATACCATGCAACTCCATAGTAATATCTCTTATAAAGTCCCAAATCATTCATTGCTCTTCATTATATTTATATATTTATTATTTTTTCTCTGAGACTTCACATATTATTACTTTACATTATCCATTCATTCTATCCAGACCTTACTTCCATATGATCTTGGTATGGGACGTTCATACAATGTACTTTCACTATAGTACTAAGAGTCGCGATCGACCTCTGTACTTATATATGTACGGTCGTACAAATGTGTCCCCGCACGATATATAATACTTCCCTTAGAAATCACTAAGTATGAAATTGTATTTTATTGACACAATAGTGATCGTATTTTACTATATTTTTAATAAATATCCTTTTTTGAGTATTTTAAATGATTTTAACTATTTTTAATCAATTTTTGGTCATATCATTTTCTCATACTAACACTTATATTTCTTTAATTTAAGTATATATTATTAACTTTTATTGTGATTAAACGTTCTTAAACGTTTTATTTTCATCTTAATTGATATTTATTATGATTAATTACAATACATTATATTAAATTTGTCACTGGTGAGTTGTTACCATTTATATTACACGTTCTCATGTAGTATAAAACGTTACACGTACTATATAACTTTATTTAAAGGTGGCAACGCATTTGGACGACCATGGACATTTGCAACTACCCTACGGTTGTTGCAAATGTCTATGAGCGGCGGTTATCACTTAACATCAGACGAACCGCTAGGTCATTCGCCACTTTCTCATATAAAAAAAAATATTGGGTCTAAAACATCTTAGAAGTTATTCTTTTCCTGATAGATTTTCTGTCTTCTTCGATCACTGAATTTTTCCAAATGTACATCATGTCCGCTGCTCATGCATACCAAAAATTAATTTCACTACGAGTAGCACTGGCTGCGAAAAAAGACTTCGCTTTTTCTTGACGCGTAAAAAATAACTTTAATCGATCATTAGAAAGCGCCAATGCATGACGGGTACTAAGTAACTTAACTGTCTACTCGTATTGTCAAAATGTAAAACTATAAATGTAAGACAAGCTCCTATTTCAATTCAAACGAATAAAGAAAATCCACCACATCCTAAACAGTAGTAAAAGGGTATAAATAGTCTAGGAAAAATAATGGACTTAAATTTTAGAATGCGTAATCAAGTTGCATTGTTAATCGTATATAGAAACGGACCAATGAAATACATATTTTTTTCTCTTGTATCTTTATTATATTTCAACATCTTATAAAGTGTACAATCATTAGTACTTGCAACTGAGAATTAAACCCAGCAACAA